GTGCGACTAACATATGACTTCTCTACATGATCTAATAAAGTATTGATATATCAATGAATAAAATGATTCAAATATATTCTTTTTTAAATGAACATTTAATTGCGTTCATGAATAATGTCGTTGTCATTGTTTGTTGTAATCCTTAATAATGTCCGTCATCTTTAATGAGCACAAAGTCAGAAGGAATGAGTAGAGTGGTTGATCATTATTTTATTTATTTATTTAATTGCGATTAATCGTCTATTTTTATTTTTATTTAATTGTGTTAATCGTTGATGGTTTCCTATTTAATTGCGTTAATTGTCAATTCTTTTTAATTGATTACCAGTTCAACCGGTATGAAGTTAATTGTTATTTGAAATTCTACTTTTTTATTAATTGTAGGATTCTTTTATATAAATTTGGAAAAGAAATTTTACTTAGGTACGTTCTGACAGCATAACGTAGTGCATCCCACAATCTTGCGTCAAAATCAGTTACTAAATATGTTTACATTTATAGATTACTTTACGAACTTACTTATCAGGTGGTTATCAACTTTGGTTAATAAAAAATCATAATAACAGTTATGTGATCAATTAAATGTTTCCATCAAATATCAATTTATATTCGTCAATCAAAAATATTATTTATATTGTACCGAGTTGAATTACGTTATGATTATTTGATTTGTGTCAAACTTACAACATTTTGATCTCATGAGTCATGAATTTGGATATGGATAACATAAATACAAAGTTGGGTTGGTATAATTTAATTAGTAAAATTGTTGAACTAACCTCATAAAATTGTAAAATTCATTTATTTTAATAATTGTTTATTTAAATTATTGACAATATTACAATTTTTTAATTACATTATCTCCATATTTGAGTTCATGAATGATATCATTGCATTATTATCTTCATTTGACTTCATGAATGCATTTGAAAATAAACCCTTTGCTCCCATTCCTTTGAAGGGATTAAATTAAATCCCAAGAGATTGAGGTTTCCTCTTATTGAGTTCAATGCTTACAATAACACACTTAAAACCTGAAGATTTTAACACAAAGAAAAGAAAAATTAAAGAAAACAAGAAACGAAAAGTAATGATGCAGAGAGGAAGAATTCTGGAATTTTGAGATTCAACTTTACTAACTGCAGAATAACAGAACAGTGGGCTAATTTATACTAGTCACTTTACAATACGCAGCGTTTTATGCATATTACAAACTTTTACAATACTTTGTAAACATTACAAACTAAACCCCCATAGTAAGCTTGTAAACATTTCACTTTTACACAACAATATAAACTGTAAACTATAGACTTAGAGGAAAACTTTGAAAGCCTTTTCTGCACTTTTCTCTTTACTCAATGTCCTCTCGTAAACCAAACCACCTTTCTAGAAAAATTCTTCACCTTTATCTTTACTTCAAACTCTTCACCTTCATCTCTACTTCAATATCCTCCTGTAAACCAAACTACCTTACTGGCATCATTTGCTGATTTTTCAATAGCAGCTTCCCTTAATCTGGTCACCTCACTTTGAGCCATCTAACACCATTTGACTTTGTACAACTCCTTCATTTGACACTTATTTTGAAGAAAAAAAAAAAAACACTGCTGTGCACAAACAAATCATAAGCATTCATCAACCAAACTACCTTACTGGCATCATTTGCTGATTTTTTTTTTTTAACAACGGCTTCCCTTAATCTGGTCACCTTACTTTGTACAACTCCTTCATTTGACACTTATTTTGAAGTTAAAAACACTACTGTGCATAAACAAATCATAAGCATTCATCAACTAAAGCATAAGCATTCATCAACCAGAGTTAAAGTTTTAGCAGAAGCTAATCAAAAGCATTCAACTCTGAGAGTCGGCTGAAGTAACAAGTTCTTCTGCAGGTATGGATGATACTACATTCAGTTTGTCTTTGAGAGTCAGAAATCTGTGAGCAGGAAGAGCCTTTGTCAAAGTATCAGCAACCTGGTATTCAGAACACACATATTGAACACATAATCTTTTCTCAACAGCCAACTCCCTCACATAATGCATGCCAATTTCAATGTGCTTTTTCCTGGCATGAAATACAGGATTGGAGGATAGTGCACCAGCACTCATATTGTCACACCAAAGTATTGGAATGTTGATGAATTGTAGACCAAGTTCCTGAAATAAATTTTGAACCCAAACCAATTCAGTTGCTGCCTGGCTAAGAGCTCTATACTCTACCTCTGTAGAAGACAACGCAACAACTTTTTGTTTACTTGAGCACCATTGAATCAGATTTCCCCTAAGATAAATACTGCAACCCGTTGTGGACTTTTTCTCATTCTCATCACTGGCCCAATCTGCATCAATATATCCTTCTAACTTGAACTACTAGTTTTGTTTAAACAGTAAGCCATGCTGGATTGTCCCTTTAATGTAACAAAGGACTCTTTTACAGGCAGTCCAGTGGTTTGTAGTAGGATATTGAAGAAACTGAATAGCCTATTAACAACAAAGGCTAAGTCAGGCCTTGATAATGTTAGGTATTGGAGTCCTCCTACTAGACTTCGGTACAGAGATAGCTGATCAAAAAGGTCACTATCCTCTTTCATGAGCTTTGTTCCAGTTGCCATGGGAGTGTTACATGGTTTGCATTTTGAGAGACCAGCCTTATTCAGTAGGTCTTGTGCGTATTTTGCTTGAGTAAGGAGAAGTCCTACTTTGTTCCTATGCACCTCAAAGCCCAAGAAGTAATTAAGAGCGCCTAGAGTCTTCAAAGCAAATTTGCTGTTTAAATCTGTAACAATATGCTCAATTAAGGTAGGATCATTCCCTGTTATAAGGATGTCGTCTACATAAACCAAGAGATAAACCACTTGAGTGCCTTTTTTGAAAAAGAATAAACTTGTGTCTGAAATGCTACTCTGAAATCCCCACTCAACCAAGGCTGTTTTTAGTTTATGAAACCAAGCCCGTGGGGCTTGCTTTAGCCTATAAAGAGCTTTGTGAAGTTTACAAACATGCTTGGATTTAGACTGATAAGTAAAGCCATCAAGTTGAAGCATAAACACTGTTTCAGTAAGTTCCCCATTTAGAAATGCATTGTTGATGTCTATTTGTTGTATTTCCCAATTGTGATGAACTGCAAGTGACAGCATAATTTTGATGGTTTTAGGTTTAATGACCGGTGAGAAGGTGTCAAAATAGTCTAGACCAGGGGTTTGTTGAAACCCCCTGGCCACTAATCTTGCTTTATATTTCTGTAGGGTCCCATCAGCTTTTAGTTTAGTCTTGAAAACCCACTTACAGCCCACAACATTCATATCTGAGGTGAAGGGGACTAATTCCCAGGTCTTGTTTCTTAAGAGAGCCTCAAACTCCTCTGTCATGGCTGCCTTCCGTTCTGAAAAAACTAAAGCTTCTACAGTAGATTTTGGCTATGGAAGAATGGAGATAGTGATATAAGCCTGTCCTATGGGATGTTGTGAGTGAGATTTTGATCTGGTAATCACGGGATGATGATTGGTGCTAAGAGTGTGTTTTTGAATGGGTAAAACCACTTCTAGATGAATTCTTGAAGAAGCATTCTCGGATTCAAAAGAGGGGAATGTCACAATTGGTTGCTGACCACCAGTATTATCTTTCATTATATCACCTTTAGGCTGCTGAGTTAAACTAGAAGAGGGGATTATCACAAATGGTTGTTGACCTGCATTATTATCCTTCATTATACCACCAGTAGGCTGCTGAGTTAAACTAGAAGGAGAGAATGTTATGGCTGGTTGCTGACTAGCAATATTATCCTTCATTATACCACCACTAGGCTATTGAGTGGCACCAGATTGCAACATATTACCAGTAGACCTCAAATTAAAATTCCTCACAGAAGACATATCATGAGTAGTAGTATTGGACTACTCAGTAGAATTACACATCAGATTCTGCTCTATTTGAGGATCCAAGCAGTGGTACATATTCCAGGAGGAAGAAAAACTTTCAACATTGGATAAACTCAGTCTTGTACTGTCCAAATCCTTAAACAAAAAACAGTAAAAACCAAGCTTGTAAGGAAAACTTGTTTCATTGAATCTTACCTACTTGGCAATATAAATTTTCCTTGTAGAGGAGAGGCATTTGTACCCTTCGTGCACTAGGCTGTATCCTATGAAAACACACTGCTCTGAATGGTAGGACAATTTATGTTTTTGGTAAGGTCTTATAAAAGGATAACAGCTACATCCGAAGACCTTCAGCTCATTATAATCAGGTGTCTTTCTATACAACATCTTATAAGGTGATACATCTTCAAGGGCAAAAGAAGGAACCTTGTTGGCAAGATACATAGTAGTGTTGAAAGCTTGCTACCATTGGCATAAAGGCATACCAGCATGTGCCAATAATGTTAGACCAAATTCTATAATGATCCTATGTCGTCTTTCTACTCTCCCATTTTGTTGATGTAGATAGGGACAAGGATGTCTAAAATTAATCCCATGTTGTTCTAAATATCCAGTAAAGGATCTAAATTCACCTCCCCAACCAGTTTGTAAAGTCTTTAACTTGGCATCTAATTGTTTTTTTCGAAAGACAATGGAAATAGGTAAAAACCTTAAAGGCTTCAGACTTAAATTTCAAAGGGTATATCTACATATATCTACTAAAATCATCCACAAATATTATGTAATACCTAAAACCTTCAAAGGAGCACACAGGGGCAGGACCCCACAAATCAAAGTAAACCAATTCAAGAGGTTTTGTTGTCCTAGAGGCAGACTTGGGAAAGGAAGTTTGAGATAATTTTCCAAATTGACAAGATTCATAAAAGATGTTATTAGCAAATGAACCAGTAGCATGCACTTTATTCATCACATTCTTAAGAGTTTTCACTTGTGGATACCCCAACCGAGCATGCCATAATTTTTTCAAACTAAGACTTACATCAGATTGTTCTTCTTGAGAATCAGAATTTTTATTCAAGCTATTATTACTAGATAAAGTGTTGGAGACATCAGCAACAAATCAAGATGCAAGGGAGTTAGAGTTGGAGGCAGCAATTGGCAAGGAAACTTGCAGCTGGTACAAGCCATCTTGTAAGGTTCCTTGAAGCAGTACCTCTTTAGTCCATTTGTCCTTTACAAGACAATGATCAGAGTGAAATTCTATGATCACACCATTGTCTTTAGTAATTTGAGATATGCTTAGTAAGTTTTTTGCTATATGAGGCACACATAACATATTCTTGAGAAGTAAAACTCTAGGAGAAGTTTGGGAGTGTAAAAGGGACACAGAGACAGGGATAGTTTGTCCATTTCCCACTTGGACTGCTCCTCCTCCTTGATAGTTGTCTTGGATGACAAGATTGTTGAGGTCAGAAATCATGTGATTTGTAGCTTTAGAGTCTACATACCATGTCTGATCTGTCACAGTGTGTGGTGTAGCCATGGTGGTTCCAACTGAAGTTGGTGCATGATTCTGATGTTTTGTTTCATTACTGAAGAATCTGTTAGAGTGAGATTGCTGAGAACCTCCAAGATTGGATGGAACATAACTGTATTGTCCATGATAACCAGTTTGAGCATTTGGCATTACAGAACTATATGTTGTAGGAACAAATTTGTTGACACACGGTCCATGCATAACTCTAGTTGCTAACAGAGCTTGGGCAGATTCATGAGATTGACCTTCTATTGAAGTTTGAACAGGTCCAGTATTGTATCCATGAGTAGCATTGTATCCAGGGCCAGAATTGTATATAGGTCCAGAATTGTATCCAGATCTGGAAGACACAAACCCTTGATATTCATGGTCAAACCTGTGATAACATTATAGGGTTGAGTGACCTCCTTTTCCACACACTTGGCATATTAACTTTGGTTGAAAGTATCCTCTACCTCTTCCTTTACCACGCACCATTTGAGAGTGATGCACTTGGTATTGATTAAGAGGAGTAAACTATGAGTACTGCTGTTGTTGAGGGGAGGTAAAATCAGGTCTAGCAAATCCTTGATTGGCTGTGAAACCAGGATGCTGATGTTGGGAAATGACATTTGAAATTGGTGGTTGAGATAAGACTGGAGCTGATGGAGAGAATTGATTAAAGGTTCTTGAATTATCAGTCTCAAATAGGTTAGGGTTTGTGTGCTGTGACACAATTGAAGGATCACTCTGACCTTGCTTAGAGACCATCAAAGCTTCATGAAAATGAGTTGGAAGCATGTTGACGTTCTAGCCTATTCTCATGTTTGTGAAGTAAAAATTGAGCCTCCTGTAAAGTGGTTTGACTACTACTCGCAGTTAAGTTTGCCACAACTGCATCATATTCAGGCCCAAGGCCATCTAATATATATAACAGGAGTTCTTCATCAGATATATTAACACCATTGGCAATCAATTCGTCCCCTAACTCTCCATTTTTAACACATACTCGTTAACAGTACTAGCATCTTTCTTTGTAGTTTGTAAACAATTTCTAAGGTGAAGAGTTCTAGCCTTAGAAGCAGATTGAAAGTGCATCTCTAAAATATTCCAAATCTCATATGCAGAAGTACACTTAGCTACATGACGATACATAGTTTCAGACATTGTAAAATATAGCCAACTTACCAGAAACTTGTCAATCTTTTTCCAAGCAAAATAATTTGGATTCAGCTTCTTGACAGCTTGTTCAGAATCATCTGCTTTCTCAATCAAGAACATCGATGGACACGTTCTCTCTTCAGTCACAAACATTTCAATTCCATGAGAGGTCAACGTTGGTAAAATTTGGGACCTCCAGAAAGAATAGTTACTTTCAAGCAATTTCACAGAAATGGTGGGTAAGGTGGGTGGATTACTTGGAATAACGAAATTCAAACCCTCAATGTTCATTTCTACCAATTTTGAGCTGAAATTTTCTAAGTTAAAGACAAAATCAACCATAGACGTTTGTCTAGGGCTCTGATACCATGAAGATTTTAACACAAAGAAAAGAAAAATTAAAGAAAACAAGAAACGAAAAGTGACGATGCAGAGAGGAAGAATTCTGGAATTTTGAGATTCAACTTTACTAACTGCAGAATAATAGGACAGTGGGCTAATTTATACTAGCCACTTTACAATATGCAGTGTTTTATGCATATTACAAACTTTTACAATACCTTGTAAACATAACAAACTAATCCCCAGTAGTAAGCTTGTAAAAATTTCACTTTTACACAACAATATAAATTGTACACTATAGACTTAGAGGAAAACTTTGAAAGCCTTTTGTGCACCTTTCTCTTTACTCAACAAAACCTATAAATAGGATTCGAAACTTAAAACAACAATATTGTACATAAAACCTTAAACCTTAACATCAGAAAAAACCAAAACATTAAACTAATATCGTTACACTTGAAATTTTATCGTTAAAACATGAAATCAATAAGACTTTGTTACTTTCATTAGAGATTTAAACTTATATTATTATAATATAAAAAAAGAAATGAACATTATCATTACTAAAATGAGTTCATAAGTTTTTATTTTAATTTTTTAGACAAGTTGTCATTCTAAAAAATATTTTTTAAACATTTGATCAGTTATACTCAATTAAATTTCTTTGACTTTGCTTATTATTTAACTTTTCAATGAAGTCAATAACTTTGACTTTGTGAAAGAAGAAATTACTTTTCTGATGTCAATAATACTAAACTTACAAAAAAATCTTACAAAGATTTCTATATAAAGTGAGGTGGCAAAAAATGAATGGAAGAGTGAAACAAAAAGTCAAACTCATTAAATTCACTTTTCCATTCATTTTTTGCCGCTTCACTTTGCATGGGGATTTTTGTAAAATTTATTTGTAAGTATAGTGTTACTCTTCTGATGTTACTTCTTTACCTGGTCCTCGTGCATTTTGTTCATTCATTCTCTGTCTCCATCTTTGATTTACTTATCTTCTCAGAAGTGAGAAAAGGAAGTGCTCATCAATTCAGATAAACAACATACACTTTGTTTTTACGTAACAGATTTATCAATTCTTTAATTTGGTTACTACGGTTAATTTATAGTGAACATTATTGATCATTTTATTTAGAATAGTATGAAGAGGATCTATATTCAAGTTAGTGTTGCTTATTTTACAGGATTCTCTTTTTAATGCGCCCCCTTCCTATGGGCTTATACTCCTTGAAAACCTCATGGTATATCTGTCCAAAGTGACTTACATCTGAATTTTGCGTTCTCCATTTTCAATAACAGTGATTTTCTTATCTAACAGGTTGAAGGAGTTAAGGCATCATGGCTGCTTATACGAATGCTCTCCACAAGTTTCTTCTGGCAGGTGATAAACGTGGCTGCACAAATTGCTGGTCAGTCCACCTTAGGTGACAGAAGCAAGCATTTTGTCTTGCTCATTATAACTTCTCACAGTTTTCCTTTTTCTTTTTCATAATTTCCATCTTTGTGATTTAATCAATTTGTAACCTTTGTAGGATGGAGTTGTAACTTAGATCTTCAAGAAACCAAAGATGCTTTGGTGAGAGCATCTGATCTTCCCCTTTCAATTCTTATTGTTAAGTGGAGGTGCCGATTTTACACATGGAGGTACATTTGATCGTTCTAAAAATATTTTTTGACATTTGTTCAGTCATACTCAATTAAATTTCAGAATATATTATTCTATTCTAATATAAGGAAATGAATTAAACTATTAATTTTTGTGACACCGATTATAGGTTGTCGAATGTCATACTAAGCTATCAAATTCCTATTATCCACTAAAAGTCAAACCTTGCCTTTTTCCCATTTAGATCTATTGACTCTTTCTTCAAGAAAACCATTATAAATACCTACCATAACAAAGAACCAGCCCATCAAAAACCAATTCGTAGCATCAAAATCCGCCGTTGTTGTAGCGAATACGTGGTGGCTGCGACAGCTTGTTCGGTGGGGATATCTATGGCAGCCTTCAAGTCGTCACAATTATAATACTTTCTGCCAGATGTACTTGGAACAGTAAAAGTCCTTGAAGGTGATGGACAAGTTGGCACACTTCTAAACGTTCATTTCCACTAGTAAATTAATTCATATTATTTATCAACTTTCATTTGAGCTACCGAATATAAATATTAATTGTTATTTGGTTTTTGTTCTAGGAACTCCTGGAGTTGTTATATGAAGGAAAAATTACAAAGGTTAATTATAAGAAGCGTGTCAAGGAAACACAAACCATTGAAGGAGTTTTTAGCACTGGGCTTCAAACGCTATATAACTCAATACAATTATTGATAATAATTTTATCAAGTATTATAAGGTCAACAATAAAGTATGAGGTTGATGATAAATTATCAAACCTTGCTTCTATAGTGAACACCAAGCTAGTTGAACACTTGCAGAAACCATTGGGAAGTACCTGACGGAAAGGAAGCTCCTCCTTAGAATCTGCAAAAGGAATTCGGCTATTGTGATGTATTCTTTTATGTCTAGTTTATAAGGTTTCTGCATCTGCTTTACAACTTTCATGTTTGAATTTACAAATTGTATGTTGATTTATTTTACTGTAATAAAACTCATATTTGTGGTTATAACTGTGGACAATTATTACATGATTTTGTGACTACATGGATTTAGTTTATTGCATTTTGTAAAAATTGTTAGAATTAAGCATCATTAGAGTTTGAAATTTTAAAAATTTAAAAATAGGTGTTTGTAGGTTTTAAATTTAAAAGCTTCTTTTATAGTGTTCGGCTTGCTGTAGCCAAACCTCCTCCTCGTCACCGTTACCACTGACACTATTGTGTACATTTTGTCTCAGTGGTGCCGACGCTGTCACCAGACTTGCCGTCGGGGACAACGTCTGTCCCACCTTCAACGATTGGTTTAATTGGTACAAGTAGGCATATTTAATTGGTTTCAAGTTTTAAGAGCAAGAAAGCATATTGTGTACGCAAACATTTCGAGCTCACTGGTTTGCCTTGTAAACGTCTATATTAAGAGTTTTTAATAAACTCGAAATAGATGAAAATTCACCTCTATTCATTTTAAAAAAGATGGATGGAAGAGGTTAACTCTTTTACGGTAATGGATGATATCCTTACAAGAGTAAACTAGAGTGCTCAAAAGCATTAAGACTTGGTAAATATCAAAATTGATGTGATGTCCCCTTTACGTAAAATTCTGGGTCTGCGCTAGTTAGAGCCCTTAAGTACTTGACACTAACAAGGGAAAATATTTCCTTCTTAGTAAATAAACTCAACAAATTTTTTAAACACAAACTGCAGCAAAAATGGTTTGCCTTTGAGGGAAAAAAAAGAAGAAGTTAGTATTCTATTTGTTTTGCTTTTTTGTAGTTAATTTTGTTAATTATTAAGCCTGTTAAAGTCAATTATAAGCAGCTTTACTGACTTTGCTTAATATTCAGCTTTATGAAGTTAGCTTGTAAGCGTTAGCACCATAAACCAAGACATGAATGATGTTATTTGAGCCTGACTTGATTTAGTTCAAATATAACAAAACTTTTTGATATTTTAACATTTGAGTTTTACCCAATTAAATTTAGATTTATATTATTCTTGTCGGAATTAAGACTGGTGAAGAGTGAAAGATGGACAAAGGAGACTCAAAGAGATAATTTAATGAATTAATTGTTACTGAATTAACATTACCTATTCATACTAAAATAAACTATAAAACAAGATAAGTAAAATATTCTAATGATTACTAAAATCCCCTAAAAGAGTAAAATAAATATTACTTAATTATTAAGGTAAATAACATATTTTTCTACCATTTGCATTCCAACAATTATATTTCTAAAAATGGAAAATAATCAAATCATTGTTTTTAAAATTGTCAAAATATATATTTTAATTTATAAAACAAGTTGTCTCAAGTTATATTTAAAATTATTGTATTCTATTTTAAAAAGTGAAATAATTAAATATTGATTTAAAATTTGTCAAAGTCATATTTAAATTTGATTTTGCGTTAAGGTATTTGACTGTGCCTTCAAATAAACTAAGAAATGACAATTTGTATAAAAAACTAAGAAATTATGTGCACGATCTAATAAAGTATTGATATGTCAATGATGAATATTTTTTTAATTACAAAACCAACTACACATTTTGAGTTCATGAATGATGTTGTTGTCACTGTCGGTTGTAATCCTAGTTCCATTATTATCTTCATTTAATATATTTAGTTGTGGGAGTCCAAAACTTGAAATAGCTATATACGTATCTGTGTGTGTA